TTTATTGTGGTTTAATCTACTTTTAAAATTTAATTTATTATGGATGGCAAACTTTGAGATTTCAATCTTTTGAAATTTATTGAAACTCACTTTATGATCTAGCATATAGTTTATCTTGGTGACATTCTGTGTGGAGTTGTAAAGAATATGCATTTGAAGTTGTTGGTTTTAGTGTTTTATAAATATCAATTTAGTTAAACTGGTTTATAGTAATCAGATCTTCTTAGAGAATTTTTTGATTGTTTGATCTACCAATTACTGAGAGGTATATAACAAACTCTCCAACTGTGGATGTGGATTTGTCTTTCCTCTCTTTATTTCTGTCAGTTTTTGCTGCAAATGTTATGAAGCTGTTACTTGGTGCATATATATTTAGGATTTTTAGGTCTTTTCATATGCAATGATTCTTTTATCATAGTGAAATATCCCTCTTTAATCTCTGAAAATATTTCTTTTTTTGACATTTGTATTGTTTGGTAGTAGTATAGGTACCCTTGTTTTTTTATTATTAGTGTTTGCATGGTATATCTCTTTCCTTTCTTATAATGTCAATTTGTATCTTTATCCTTAAATTCATAATAGATAATGTTAGGCTTAAATTTATCACTTTGCTAAGTGTTTACTATTTGTCCCTTGTTTTTTAAAAAAGTTTTTTGTTCCCTAGTGACTCCTTTCCTCCTTTTTTGATTAATCAAATATATATTAGTATTCTGTTTAACTTCCTCTATTGGCTCCTTAGCTACATCTTTTATTCCTGTATCTTTAGTGGTTTCTCTGAGGCCAATAATATGCATTCATAACTCATCAAAGTCTTAGAGTTCTTAAAGTTCCACTTTATACTTCAATTTGCACATTTTGCACCAAACATTATCTGCTTCCTATTTACTCTTTTCACCTAAAAATATTAGGAACTTTAAGATAGTTTAGTTACATTTATCTACAATCTCCCCTTTTGTGGTATTGTTGTCAAATATTTCATTTCTTCATAATTATAATCCACAATTTACAATTTTATTTATTTTTTGCCTTAAACCATCTTTTTAGGGGTTTTAAGGAATCAAGAAAAGAAAACATAGTCTTTTTATTCACACATTTGCCTTTGCTGGCATGCTTCATTTCTTTCTGCGCAAAAATATCCACTTTATTTCATTCTGAAAAGTATTTATTGACCTTTTGGCTTTCAAAGTTTAATCTTTTTAAATTTCAGGATTCAAAATATTAGTATTTTAAAAAATTTAAATTAGTACATATTAGGAAATTTAAAATTTTTTCTTTTCAAATCTTTTTGCTTTTTTTGGCAGTCAGTAAGGTGGTTCATTTACTGGTATGTTTTGAACATTTGTCCTTTCTATCCTCTTTTCTCTAATAACCTTTAAAACCTTGTTCTTTTTGTAAAAATGGAACTTTTAGATGTGTTCTATATGATTGTGTTCTCAGTTACACCTGCTTTCTTTCATGGTTTCCACTACAGCTCTCAGGAAGGGCTCCATGAAGAGTTCTTTCTCATTTCTTTTCTGAGCTCTGCCACCTGGTTGCACATTTTGTACATTTTGATCAGAAGAAAAAATGGTCAGATGTGTGACTATGTACCAATTCATGGGCTGTAGCTAATGGTATGACTGGGTGGTCAGGGACTTGGAAAGAACATGACTGGAAAATTGATGACAAAGACATTTGGGGACAAGGTACATGGAGAGACCTCTCTATATTGGAGAAGGATGTGAAATATTTGTGTCCCATGTAAAGATTCACCAAAAGCTGCCCTCAGAAGAAGAGGACTTTAATAATCACGTGAATAGGATTAACTATTTTGAAGCATAAAAGTTGATATATTTTCTCTATTGTTCCTGAGATCTTTACTCACCACTCATAGTTTGATATTTTGTTTTTACTTGCTCATATGTGAGAAAACTTTAAAATTTTGGGACTCTTAGGGTAATAATCACATTGCCCTAAAACCTCTAAGATAATTGGTAGGCTTTTATAAACTCAGAGGAATTCAATACATCTTCGAAATCAATAGCAGTGCTGTTGTAGACCTGGATTGGAAAGTTTTCTGAATAAAAACTAAATGACTTACATAAATGAATGCTTTAGTATATGTGCTGCCAAAGTGAGCACATGTAAATGAATGCTTTAAAGGCCTGATATTTTTGCACTAGTGAGGACTCCCTTCCTAGGTTTTTTGCCTCAATTCATTTATCCTTTTATAAACTTCATTCTGGCATCCTATTATTTATTTTCATTACTTTATTCTGGATGCTGTCCATATGGCTTTTAAATATTCTGACCAAACTTGGTTAGTATCCTACTGATAATAGTATAAATTCAAAGGGAATCCAAGAGAGACCTACATCACATTCAAATGGAAAAAATATATCAGTTTCTTGGGATGCGGTTGGCTCATAAGCAAAACACTGAATCATTTCTCTAAAAGGGTGAAAGTAAGTAAGTCAGTTAAAACCTTTAAATGTTTAGCTCAGCTTGCTGTTTTGCAGGCTGTGTGTGTGAAGTGGGGGATATGAGTCCCGGAGCAGATGTGCCATTGCTTGGACTGAAATGGAGTGGAGGGAGGCTGTTCTACAATGGTGTAGATGGCACAGAAACCCTAGGGCTGTTTAGAGCTATTGGTCAGTTTATGAGTTTTTCTACACCAGAAGGTAAGGCAGATGCTTAAAATTACCGAGGTATATCCTAAGCATTTATAGAACCCTGAGGTGAGCAGCACTGAATGTTTGCATTTGGAAGAAGAGCCAACTGTTAAATTGTTGGGTCAAGCAAATTACAGAGCAGAATTTGGAGCTGCATCAACCAAAAATACTATGTGCCTACCAAATTTGATATAACATTATTACTCCAAAAATATCTGAATCTATAATATCTCTCTCAGCACAGAGAATGGACCCAGTAGGATCTCCTCATTAAATGGCTACAGGATATTTTTTATTGTAGAGTAGGAACATAAAGTATGGCCAGCCTAAATTGCATTATGGAAAGAAGAGAAACAGACTCTAGGTTGTTCAACGTGAAAGAGCAGCAGCCATTGTATATGTTAAGAGGGCCAGTGATGTTTTCTTGGAGTATCAGAAGTTGCTGGGGTTCCTTTCTAAGCGACTCACTTCACAGCTTCTCCTAGGGTCTAGCTGGGTCCTTCTACCCAAACTTTCCACAAGGAACATGTCGACCCACCTTCTATAAATCCATGCTCTGTTCTTTTGATCTTCTAGAGCTGCCAGACTTAATACTCATGTTTCTGAGTTGCATATTTTATATGACTACATTGAGGACCTCCTTGAATTACAATGGCAAAGATATTCAAATCATGTCACTTGAGCATGTGTGACAGGCTTCCACGGATTATTTATAATAATTTAAATTCTGGAGTGAGTGCTATGAGTTTAAGGAGATTTATACTGCACTTGACTTCTGAACAGATCTTTCTTTAAAATGAAGTTTCTATGTCCCTGAATGCTTGAAGACAGTACAATTTTTCATAGTTTATAACTAAGCCAGGGGTAGATTTAAGTCAGATCTCAGAGCTAAATTTTTAAAAAGGATCCTCCTCACTCTTATATTCTCCACTCCTAGGAAAGATCCTTGGAGTCCTGCATGTCTTTCAGGTAAGTTGTTGCACTAGGAATTTGATGATAGTTGTGGATTTTGCTGGCTCTGATCCTATGTTTTTTCTGGTGATTATTTTGGATGCTGGAAACAGATGGCCAAGGAATCAGATGTTGGGGCTGAAAGGAGGGTTGGAGACAAACAAACATGTCCTGAAAAAGTCCATGGGACGCCAGCAGTCATTTTGCTTCATGGTATTTAAGATTTTATTACTGTGTTAAGCTTGGAATTACATCTGTGGCTTTGCATTAACTCAGGCAGTTATTGTCACCTTGCAATTTAATAGTTTTTAAAATAGATTCCCCTAATGTTTCTCTTAGCAGGTATTTTAGCAATGGAAATCTGATTTGAAAAATAATCTCAATGCAATCTAGAACTTAATGTGTATTGGAATTATCTATTGATTTCACTATGTATTGGTCATGTTTTTTCTACCTTATATAATAAAGTTGAATGCAATCATTTAATTAAAAATCCCCTATCTCCAAAGAAAACAAAACTAAACAAAATTCCCTCCCTCAACATTAGGGATAAGTGTGTTTTAAAAAGATTCCTAATATTTACATCTATGAAATCAGTAATTTTCATCATTTCTTCAGCTTACCTAGCTGCTGACAGTCTCTCTCTGTTGTGTACTGCCCAAAGGCATTTAGACCTGGAATCTGATTTGGGGTTAACAAGGAATAGTGATGTTGGCAGCTAAAACACAATGGTCATATGGAAAAATGTAGATACTATAATAGACAAAACTTACCTCATTTTTATTCCAGTGACTACGTTAAGAATTGAGTGACCGCAGTTGTTTATCTCTCTTCAAGTTGAAGATGTTCCCATAAAAACCCTGGAGTAAAAAATATAGCCATGGCTTTGACAATGATTGATTGAAATATATAGAATTTGACTTTTTTGGAGTGCAACTGCCTATGAAGTTCTTTTTCCCAACTAAAATCTTTTGATCCTGGTCTTTACTGTCTGCATTTCTACCACATTCTGGACTTCTGAGTTCTAACCAGAATCTCCCATTATTTTGATGACCTAAGGTAGTGTTTTGATTTCATTTATTTATTTTTCAAGGGAAGTTTTTTTTTTTTT